TGAACCGCTACCTGCCTCAGGCCATCACATTTGCATTTCCTTACTGGTACAACTACTTTAGAAGCACTATTCCTTCCATTCTTTAGATGTGTTTAACACTACCCAAGAAAATGTTTTTACATACATGCCATAACTCTAACAATACTAAACTTAAATTGATCCCACTATGCAGAAACACACAGGACATCAGGTGAAGTGGGGAAAAAAAAAAAAACGGGAAAAGCATTACTCATACTTACTCCTTCAGCTAGTTCAAAAACAGGAACAGGTTTGCTTTTACAGCTTGAAACAACTATTTTATCACCAGAAGTAGAGGCAGTGACCAGGAATCTATCTTAGTCACAAGTTAAGGACCATAATTGTAGGATAGTGGCGATTAATAAAAGCAACAGAAAGTTTCCCTTGCTGGACAGAAGACAGATTGACTAAACAGTCTAAAGCACTGTACCTTGAAAGGACCTACAAATAGAAACATAAGACTATTTTCCAAGATTTCATTTAGAAGCTCTTGCATTAACTACAGCCCTTACTTCCCAATACAAGGCAGGGCAATTTCTTTCAGAGAGGAGATGAGAAATATCCAGCAGATATTATTTAAGAGCTCTTTACCACTAAGGCAGCTTATCCAGTCTGCAATTCTGTTTCCCCACCACCCCCAAGTAAGAGCCTCATTTACCACTACAGTTGAAAGGAATGCTTGTTGCTGTTAGCAGGCTGTGGGTTTAAAGAATAGTCCTGTTCGTGACGAACTACTGCACCAGAGAGTTTCTACAGTACAACAAGCGGTTGCCAATTTGTCTCCCTCTGTACTGAGAAAAGAAAAAAAGCCCCAAAAGAACCTTTAAGGAAACCAAGTACCCCAAAGTAATAAGAAAAACATTCAATACTGAACTACAAAGCAGGGAGACTGTGCTGAATCCTCACCAAACAAACTGAGCGATCATTTAGATTCGTGTCCTCTGTCTTCAGGCCAATGCCCATTGTGATTTTGTATTTGCTTATTTAGGTATCATTCGGGCTAACTGGATGGACTTAATACCACAGAACCAGTAGACAGATTAGTGCTTGCTGTTTCTTTTATTATTCCAAGGCACTATTTTAGCCTACAGAATTATGCAGAACCAAAACTAATGCTTTCTCCCTAACAAATTAACAAATATATAGAGCAAGACACTTCATTGTTTCAGTTTGGGGAGAGGAAGAGGAGTCTGGGCAAAAAAAAGCATGACAAGACTGTCTGTCTGTAGCTAAAGTTTACTAAACTCATCTAAGTGTGTAAACGTACACATGAAAACAATACATCTCTGCTTCAATTTCTCTGCAAGCTCCATAGCTAAAACATTCATTTGTGCTCTAAATTGTTTCAACTTTTTTTCTCACAGTCATTCACTTGCAGACTTACAGGACAGACACTTACAACTTGCAGGGCTCAACTGCTAGTGCCAGCACCTTGTCCTTCTTTTCCATCAAGATGAGGCACCACCACCTTTTCCTTTGACAGCCATATAAGCTGTTCACCTGACAGCACACTGAAATGGCTCATATATTCACCTAACACTTAGCACCTTGTGTCACTATCCCAGAACAGGCTTCCAAGTCAGAGATGAAAGATTAAATGGATCAGATCCATTCTGATGCTAAATCACCACCATCCTACAGATATTTTCCTTCATGACCGACCCATTTGTGCTTCCTTTCTAAATGCTACAAACAATGCAAAGAAAATCAGTGCCTGCAGGGTAAGAGGTAAGTTTACACTATCAGAGACTACCAATGAAAAGCTGTTCTGGGGAAAATAAATCCTTCATTACAATTTTCCTCTCCTACACTATGTACAGGATCTTACTACACCAACCATTGCTTTGTTCAGCTCTGTCAGCAAATTAAGCACTTTCTTGAAAGTACTGTAGTCAAATACTGAAGAAACAAATGAGGAAAATCTTTATACTTGGCAGGAAACTCAGGCATATCATAATCATTAAAAAAGTGTTTGCTTCCTACAGGATGAGAAACTTCTTCAGAATCATTTACCAGCATGAGCTGATTTTGTGAATCACTTCAACAAAGAGAACCACAAAATTTTCTTCACATTATAGACAAATCGTTTCAGACAAGACTTCAAAAATGCATCAGGCCTGTGCTTGACAAACACTTTAGTCAAAGAAAAAACCATCAGAATGCTGCAGAACACCCATAACACTATGGCTAAAACTGGAAAGGATACTATTGCTGGCCCAGCATAGTGAGCTGACTAGACGCGAGGAGGTGTGTGGTTTGAACTGCTCCAGCACAGTTAGAGAAGAGGAATCCCATATTTTAACATCATCTCCTGCTGACGCAAAGTGTATGCCTTCTTGCATGGCTGCACCTGGTTCACAAAAATAAATGAAAAAGTGAAAATACAGAAATATACATAAAGTAATAATATACAACAGGCAACTTCACAAGTCAAACAACATTTCATCTGTGCCACTTAAGACTGTTTTCTTGATAACCACGATATTTATTTGGAGTCACACAACTAGTACTGTTCAACTTAATATACTACTGCAGGCAGCAGACACTCCACACTTCTACTACTTGAATTCCTGCAGGAAGCGTGTGCTTTCCTTGCCACAAAGCCATCCCCTCTGTGGCACTGGGAGACTAAAATGAAGCTTCTGTCTCCAGAGTGCACAGCTGCCTCCCACGAAGACCTAAGTATCTCAAGGACCCATTTCCCGCCAGTAGATGGGGATATACAAACCAAAATCAAGATTGCAGGGGAAGCTTGGACCTAAAGGACTCACTTCAGCGTTTGTCTCACCACACTAAAGGAGACATCAGAGAACCCCTTAAACTAAACCTTTGACAGCAGAATGCAAAGGGACAACGAATGACCTTTCAGCGCAGATTACAAAGCTTTAAAAAGCAGAAAGACCAGGAAGAACAAGGCACTGTTTGTTTTGACTGACAATGTTCTAAGAGTTAAGCCAGGCTAACCAATTCCTGGTTTGTAAAGTCTCTCCTCAACCTTTTACTCCGGGTAATTTTAAACTACCAACAAACAAGGGCTCCAACGCTGCGCCTTCCCTTCCGCTGAAAGCACAACCAACACTTCGTTAAGTTTCCGGAACGCCTCCACACAGCTTTAGGCCATCCATTCTCACTGTTCAGTAGCGGCGCCTAACACTGCCAAAAGTAGTCAGGAAATCCAAGGCCCACATCCGCCTTCGCTCAGCATCATCCGGCAGCTCTGCTCCCCGCGCCGGCCGCTCCC